ATTTGATTTTACAATTAGTCTCTTTTTAAACTCTTTGCAGAGCTTGACCTATGAGATTCAGAATTCCTATTGGACCACTTCTCTTGCTACATTGTCATTTCCATAAGGAGACTGGAAATTTAAGCAAGACAGGGTCAAATGACTTATCATTCATTCATCAAACATTTATTAGGTACCTGCTATGTACCAGACATTACTACACTCCAGGGACAAATTCAGAAATGAAACAATCCCTGTCCTTAAGCAGCTTACATCCAACTAATATAGATAAATCGTTAGAGGATATATACAAATTAAATACAAAGTAATTTTGAAGGAGGAGTGTACTAACAATACAAGGAATTATGGAATCCTGTATGAAACACTTACCCTTGAAGGGAACTAGGGATTCTAAATGTTAGAGGTGAGGAGAGGGAAATCATATTACATTTTATGTTTTGGAATTATTTTTAGAAGCCTTCACATTATAGCACATAAATGGTCAGACCTTGTAGCTCTGTTATTCTTCCTTTAATCCTTCATCAAAAATTATATACACATTCATTAAGATTCTGCTATTATGTCTACATTTTATTTGATTATAATAATCTCTTGATTTTATTTTTGACTGAAGTCACTAGAAATCTATTACTTCTATTTTTCCCCCAGCACTTTTTTGGTCTAAATAGATGAGTTCAAACTCATTAACTTGGACTTCAAAGGACTGTGAGTATTGTTATTGTTCAAATGCCTCTCAGCTAATTGAATTTCTCTTAATATTATTCCCCTTTTAAGAAAATAATGAAGTCACAAATTAACTATATTGAACAGCAGTATTTGGGGCCCTTGGATGTATATTTTCCATAGCATAGTTACCAGAAGACAGTAGGACAACCAAACCATTGCTAAATAAAACTGTACATTTTTGGTCTTCAAAGTTAGGTGCAGCAGTCACTTCTCAAAGACTGTGTCATAGACACATAAAGCTACTGTATAAAGAGGTAAATATATTCAAGGGATAGGAAAAGCAGAAAAATAGTAAACAATTATTTCGTCTGTAAAGGTAGAAGTGCAATGTGGTATAGAGCAAAGAGTAATATATGTATAAGTAGAAGACCTCAAGATCAGAGACACTTAAGATCAGAGAACAAGAACTGAAAGAGACCCTAGGGTCCATCTAGTGAAGTCCAGCTTCATCATTTCACAGGATAGAGATGAACAACTAGATCAAGATCACACAGATATTAAGTGGCAGAGCCAGGAGTTAAGAGGTGTTCTGACTCCAAAGCCAACATTTCTGGTGGTGCAATGGATAGAACACACTGGGCTTGGAGTTGAGGAAGACCTGAGTGATAATTCAGACTCAAACACTTACTAGCTGTGTGGCCATGGGGAAATCACTTAACCTCTGTTTGCCTCAGTTTCTTTAGGTGTAAAATGAAAATAATAATAAAAATAATAATAATAGCACCCACCTCCCAGGATTGTTGTGAGGATCAAAGGAGATATTTGTAAAACAATTAGCACAATAACTGGCAAATAATAGTGCCTTAATAAGTATTTGTTTCTTCCTTTCAGGCTACTTCAGTTTTGTGATCATAGTTTCTCATTTGTTTAAAGTGACAAATAGTACTTGTACTACCTACATCACGGTGTTGTTGTTGTTGTTGTTGTTTTGAGGGGAGGAATGGCACATAAGACCAGGACTTTGTAACTATAAAGTGCTACGTACTTTAAGTTGTCATTATCAGATAGCTAAGCAGGATAACTATTGCATTTTTAGAGTTATATTGATTCTTCTTGGGAACAAATGAGGCAGATTGACAGATTGTATGTACCATACTGTATTTTCAGTTAGTTAAGTAGTGCAGTGGATGGAGGGTCGGCCCTAGAGTAAGGAAGACTCATCTTCTCAAGTTCAAATCTGGTTTTAGACATTTATTTACCAGCGATGTGATCCTGCTCAATTGTAAAATGAGTTGGAGAAGGACATGGCAAACCATGCCAGTATCTCTGCCAAGAAAACCCCAAATAGAGTCATAAAGAGTGGACACAACTAAAAATGACTAAACAACAACAATACTGTATTTCATTGTCCATTTATTTTTTTTTTATTTATGGTAAGTATGATGTGCTATGATATTTAATATTTGAGCAGCATGCTAAGGAGTCAGCATAGTGCCAGAGGAAGTGTAACACATTTGGAGACTGAGATCTGGTATTTAATGCCAGCTTTACTGTATATCACCAGTGTGCCCTTGGGCAAGTTACTTATGCTCATTGATCCTAAGATCATCATCTGTAAAGTAAATGGGTTGGACTAGGTGACCTCTAAGGTCTTTCCCAGCTCTTCATCTATTATTCTACCATTACAATATAACAGAAGATGGTTTTTACCTTAATAATTTGAGAAAGTTTATTGTTGTTCTATCACAAATGGATCTCATTGACAGTAAATGAAAAACAATATAATATACATATACAAATGTATAATAATAATAATAAATTTAGTAATTGCTGAGTAAGTATTTAGAATGAGAATCTATAAGGTTTATGAGAGTGGAATTTTCTGGAAGTCCTTTGAAAGTTAATGCTTTATTTCAGACTTGGGATTCTTGCTGACATGCTGCCTCTTTGTGTGTCTAGATTCCCATTCACACTCTTTCAGGTTAAGCTCAGTAGGAATTTAAGAGTTGAATAGCTAGGGCTGAATTACCGTGGTGCATTACTACTATGGTGTGCTACATAAAGGAACTTTGGGAAGAAGGAATTGTGATGCAAAAAATCACTATAAGTATTTTTTTGTTTGCTTGTTTGTTTGTTTTTCTCCCCTATCTTCTTGGTATATGGAAACCTGAGCAGCTAATTAAACAACTGATAGGGGCAGAAAATCATTATTTAAGAAGCCTTTTACTTACAATCAGTGCTCTAAGAGTTCATCTAATTTCAGAGTTCCAGGCCTGGAGTTAGGAAGACTCAACCTTCTTTGAGTTCAAATCTAGTCTCATGATCTTACTAGCTGTGTGACCCTGTGCAAGTCATTTAATCCTGTTTACCTCAGTTTCCTCATCCATAAAATGAGCTGGAGAATGAAATGGCAAACCACTCCAGTATCTTTGCCAAGAAAACTCCAAAATGGGGTCATGAAGAGTCAGACATGAATAAAATGGCTGAACAACTAATTTGATAATAAAAAATAAACATTGAATTATTTGTTAAGCATATATTAACTACCTATTATGTGTCAGATAGTGTTCTGGCTCCTAGAAATACAAAGAAATAAAACAGACTTCATTTTTAAGAAGTTGTTATTATATAGAGGCACGATACCCTTGGGTTGTAAGATATTTATGAGATAACATGGAATTTTGAGAAGAGAACTGGTTTTGGAGTCAGAGGACTGGGGTTCAAAATCTAGTTCTAGGTGACCTTAGCCATTCTAGGTTTGTTTCCTCACCTGTGAAATGAGAAGTTAGATCAAATTCCCTTAAGGTCTCTTATATCTATGGAACTATGATCCTAAATCATTCTGCCCTTTTAACTTGAAAACTATCCATATACAAGTATTCAATGTTTACTGCAGTGCATTTGTTAAATTCTGTAATTACGAGTGACTCATAGTTTCTTGGTTTTATTGATCATTCATCCAGATGCTTTACTTCTGTGTAATTCTTCTTTTGCCTTTTGATCACTCAAATGCATATCACATAGACATCTGAGCATGGAAAAGAAGAAGAAAAGGAGACGTTTTCAAACTACTCCAATTATCTTTGTTAGTAGTTCAAGTAAGAAGCTTGGCTGAAATAGAGATCCTAATTCTGGGGAGAAAATGAAAGTTGGTTATTATCTGTGGACTCAGTTTTTGCCATTTTTCTCCCCAACTTGATGACTGAAGTTTGTTTCAAATGTGAAACCCTATAACCATAAGGGAGCAGATGAAGGTGGTTATAAGAAACTAAGCTTGTCAGATTTAGAACTAGGAGCTTTATTCCACATTATCTAGTCCAACCTCTTCATTTAACAAATCAGGAAATTAGGGGCTACAGAAATTAAGTGACTTGCCCAATGTCACGTGAGAAAATCTAGTGTTCTGCTCATAAGATAGTGATAATTATTATAAATAGGGCAAGTAGGTGCTATGAGGGCATTTAGATGGCACAGTGGATAGATTGCTGTGCTTGGAGTCAGGAAGACTCAACTTTCTGAGTTCAAATCTGCCTAAAAGACCGCTACTACCTGTGTGACCCTGGGTAAGTCACTTAACCTTGTTTGCCTCAGTTTCCTCATTTCTAAAATGAGCTGGACAAGAAAATGGCAGACTCGTCTAGTATCTTTGCCAAGAAACCCTCAAATGGGGCCACAAAGTGTTGGATGTGACTGAAAACAACTGAACAACACAAAAAACTCATAGAATTGTAAGATGTAAGCTCCAACGAGGACCTTAAAGATCACCTAGTCCAGTGCTATTATTCTAAAAATGAGGAAACTGGGCTCCAGATAGACTAAATTAGGCTAATGGCACATAGCATATTAGTGAAAGAACTAGGACTAGAGGAAATACTTTTTTTTCAACTCTATCTTCTTTCAGGTACTTAGCACAATACCTGGCACATTATAGGCTCTTAATAAATACTTCTTGACTTGACTCTTTCCACCCTGTTTAGTGACAGTAAGATAACCTAGCCTTCATGTGGATGTAGTTTTCCTTGTCAGTGGATGATATGAAGTGTTTGAGAGTACATGACAACATCATTTACCCAGCTGCTTACACATGTGACAGCTTGTGAATGCTGTTGGATATCCACCCACACCCTCCTGAAATCACCTGGGTTATTGGGACTACTTCTCTGTCACCTCACTCCCCAATAAAATGGCAAATGCTTCTTCCACAAAATGTGTTGGTTAAAAACAAACTCAAGAGATTCCACTCTAGTCTGGCTTAGGTTGTTTGCCTGTTATGTTGATATAGTGTCTTTGTCACTGAAACATACTGAGCTACCTCTTGTCTCTTCTGATTCTAGGTTTGCGTGCTGGAGAGGCAAATATTTGATTTCCTTGGATACCAGTGGGCACCTATCCTGGCAAATTTTATTCATATTATCATCGTTATTCTGGGTTTATTTGGAACTATTCAATATAGACCTCGCTACATAACAGGAGTGAGTACTCTTATTTATTTTATTTTCCCTTGTGAAAAGTAGATAGTGCAATCAATCCTATAGTCTTTAGAAATTGTGTGTGCCTTACCTACCCTTAAGATGCTGCATGTCTGCTTTTTTTTAGAATTTAGCTCACACCTGCAATAATTGGAAAAATGTCAAGCTTAAGCACCTGACAGTGAATGTAATCAGATATCATTTTCATGTTCTGTACTTTCAGTAAATAACATGTTGTAGTTACATCCGGAACCATCTGAATCAGTAAATTATAAAGTCAAGCTCTGATTTAATGTGTCACTAAGAGATTATTTTCTTTCACATTTTGAAAGAGTAAATCCATTTTACACATTGAAAGAAAGGCAGGTTAAAATAATTTATGACAAGTGTGTTGTATTGATGTTGAGATATTGATGATATGTTAATAGTTAGTATTTAATGTTGGCATGAAAGTCAGGAAGTTCAGGGCTATTGTTGCAGTCTTCTTAATTCTATTTCTTTGCACAAAGGTAATATTTTGCTTTCCTCCTGAAGTTGTACTTACTTAACATAAAAGTAAAATCTGACTGAGTTACAGTTGCTATGGGAACCATAACTTAGATTTTTTTGCTCTCATGTGTGCCTCAGATCTCAGCTATAACATTTCATTAATGTAGATTTTTATATTCTGTCTATTTTTAACAGAGGAAAAGATATAGGCACTTTTCAAGTTTCACCATGTTGACTTGAAAAGCCAGTTTGAATGCCTGGTCAAATATGTATGTAGAGCCAAATTAGGCTGACTTTCTTTCCTGGTGCAGTGCAGGAGAGTTTAGATCATCTTAGTTACAGATATTTAGTGCAAGGACAATACTGAGACATCTTAAAGGCCAGCAGTTCTCCTTAACCATTTCCTTCTCCAGCTCATTTTACAGATGAAGGAACTGAGACAAACAGGGTTAAGTGACTTGCCCAGTGTCACACAGTTAGCAAATGTCTAATTTGAATACAGGCCTTCCTGAGTCCAGGCCAAGTGCTCTCTATCCACTGGGCCACACAGCTGCCTCCCTTAAAGGGGATCACGTTACAAATTTTTAATGCCCTTCCCTTTAAGGTGGGATTGGAAAGTTCTCTACATATCTTCCACTATTAAGTTGTAGCTACTCCTTGATATAAGATGGAATCTAGGACAAAGATCCAGTATAATGATTTATTTAAATGGGGGAAGATGAATTCTATGTGTGGTGTGACATTTTTCAAATAACAAGACATGATAGTATGGCACAAATTCCAGTGTTGACTATGGAAATGGTGAGACATCAGCTCTGCTACACACTACTTTGCAAGGTCTCGGCAGAGCACTTCATAGCACCACAGCCTCCATGTAATCCAACTTCTACTTGAAAAAAAAAAGAATTCCCTCTATAATACATCTGGTCACAGTCTTTACTTAAGGACCTGCCATAAGGGGAAGCCTAACACCTAATAAAGCAGCACATGTTTGTATAGTTCTAATTATTAAGGAGTTTTTCCTCAGATTAACCCCAAATTTACCTTTTTGCAATGTTCATCCATGGATTCTAATTCTACCCTCTGGGGCAAACCAGAAGTATAATTCTACTTTCATGACAGCTTTTAAATACGCTTTAAAAATTACTATTAAAATTATTTTCAGTTCTAAATTCTCTCCTTCCTTCTTTCCCTTATCCTACCCATTGAAAAGGCAAGATTTTCAACTACTTTAAAGACAATTATCATGATTACTTCAATATTTTCTTCTCCAGTTTTCCAGAATCACAGTTCTTTCAACTAATCTTCATGTGATATGGACACTGGCCCTTCAAAATTCCACTTGTCCACCCTTCCACACTCTGGCTTATTTCTACTCTCTTCTGTTTATTAATGTCCTTTCCAAAATATAGCATGCAGAACTGAACACAAGTGCTTTTAACACTACAAGGACTATATGGAGGAAAAAAGTATGAATTAAACACCACTTGTGTTCCAAATACTGTTCAGGGCTCTGGGGATACTAAGAAAAAAGGGAGAAAGGTCCTTTTTTTCAAAGAACTAACATTTATATAGGGTGAGATAATATACTAAAGAGTAGTGGTGAATGTGGAAGAGGATTTTTGTTTGGGGATTCACAGGCATGGTTTGTGCAGGCACAGGTACATTGTCATGACCTTTCTAGAAACAATGGAAGTATTACTGTAGCTGAGGTCTCATCTCACTTTTCCTATCAGTAAAATGAGGCTGTTAATTTGTTCCATTTCAAACTCTAGCTCAGTGATCCTTTGTATGTAGATCTGTCATGATGTGTTGACAATATACTTAAATTGGAGAACAGAAGAAATTCAGAAAGTCGGGCTGTTTAGGGTAATCAAGCAGAATAAGTCACATATCCAATAAATTCTGATTTATTCAGAGGAAATGAATAGGAAAAGTTATATTAAAGTAACAAGACCTAAAGGTTGGGGCTTAAAACTAAAACACCATACTAATTCAATGGTACCAGGGACAAAGAATCTAAAATCTGGGTGTTCTCCTAGAAGCAGTGATTAACAAATGAGTTGACACAAAAATCATGATAAGGAAAAAGAAAAGATGATTAAACTGATGAGTAAGAGATAATGACTTCAGGAACCTGGGTTCAGATGGGTGCTACAGGAGTGAATCTGAATTGTCTTAGGAAGATTCTGAAGATCACCTGGCAGGAAAAGGTATAGGACACTAAGATCCTTTCTCGATTTAAACTGCCAAACATTCAAACCCTACTGCAGAGAGCACAACTCCAATGGGCTGGCCATGTTGTTTGAACGCCAATCATTATTCTTGCCTAAAAGACTATTTTACAGAGAACTCAATCAAGGAAGGTACGATACAAGGACACTCTCACTTTGGAACTGATTGCATGGCATGGGAGATGCTGGGAAAGGACTGCCCAGCATGGTATACTGCATCAAAGAAGGAGCTGCGTGCTGTAAGCAAAGCAAAATTGAAGTAGCTCAAAAGAAATGTGAGACGTGCAAATTTAGAGGAACCACTCCAAATGTTCACAGAGACTATTTGTGCCTGACCTGTGCGTAGAACATTTTGAGCTCGTATTGGTCTGATCAGCCACAGTCAGGCACACTATAACTTGACTCTAACATAGTGATGTCGTTTTGGTCCTCTTCCAGGACACAACCAGAATGAAACATTGGAAGATAATTATTATTTTTGTTGCTGAATACAAGAAATCACCAAACCAGTGAAAAGCTAGAGCCCTTCAGCATTTACTGAATTAACAATGGAATTTAGTATCTTTTGTTCTAAAAGCAGAGGAGACTTGCCTTTAAGGAAAAATTAGTCTAATCAATCAGATCCTGACAATGGTGATGATCTAACTTCTCTCTAATTCAAATTCTGTAAGACCTGACAAGAAGTCATTTGTGCAAATGTATTTGGGAACCTAATTCCACTTGACAGAGAGAGCTATATAGACTAATGATAAGGGTTGTTTCTGTTTTGTTTTGTTTTGTTTTCTGTAGGGTGATTTATTTGGTGATTTCCTTTTTGGTAAAGAGTTATAAGAAACTCAACCCCTTTCTGAAGGAGAACAGGCAAGAATTATTCCATGACCTGGGGCTGGGGCTTTCTGTTCATGCCTGCTGAAGCTTCTGGGCAAAGACTAGTAAAAGTCCATGGCCTGAAACATCTGGCTGGGGAGGGATGAGAAATGCAGCATCATACATAGTGAGCCCAGAGATCAGTTAGCAGAGATATGAAGTGATAAATAGAATAGTCAGAAGCAGGAGGCAGGGTCTGAATCAGAAGCATTAATCAGTATCAGTCTCAATAGAATTCTAGTAGCTGGTGAAGAGCTCTGAAACAAGGTCAAATAGAAGTTCTGGATTATCAGAAGAATAAATAAAAATGTTAGAGGACATGCATTAAAACCTGAAAGGGACCTTAGACATCACCTAATCCAGCCATTTAATTTTTTGGATCAGGAAACTAGAATTAAGCTACTTGCCCAAAGTCACATAGGTATTAAAATAGCTAGGACTGGAACCCATATGCTCTGAGTTCAAATCCAGTACTCTTCAAATGAACAAAGGTTGGCACAGTTTGCCACTCATCATCATGCATGTGTATACATTTTTATACTAAGATGTATGATGCTGGCTCTCCCTTCCTCCTTGCTCTGAACGAGCTCTGCTCTTCAGCTAGGCAAATCCCTACTGCCATTGATGCAGCTGTCTATATAAGTGAAATGGGATTCTTTAATGCAAAATATGAACAAAAGAGATATATGTCCATCCTAGGAAATTTTCAGCCAGGTAACTACAGATAAAACTTAATAGTGGTTTAGGTTATGAATTTTGTTTTTTCTCATTAGTCCTCCTTTTCACAGATGACAAAAAAATTAGCAGTAGTCACTGGGAATCCAAACTTATTAGTGGTCTCAGATGAAATTCTGACACTACAAATGAACATTATATCCTGAGGGGAGAAGAAAAAGAGAAGAAGTCTCAATTTAGCACAAAGAAATCTGTAACCTGAGTAGGCAGAAGGGTTCTCATATTGTGTAATTGTTGGCAGCATTTATTCCCGGAGTAAAAGGCAAATTAATACCAGTGTATTAGCTCACCAATGATTATGAATACATTACAAACCCAAAGGCCATGTCTTCACTCTCTGAATGGAATTGTCTTTGGCATCTCAGTTTGGACAAAGACTCTGGTGCATAAAATATGGCTGGGCATGTGAACATTAGGTGGAGAGAAGGAATTGTCTGAGAGCACTGTTGCTTTAGTGATATAGTTAGGTGGGTAGTCCTGAGGTCACTAGCTGCTACAGTTACAGCAGTTTCTTAATATTTTGGCATCGTTCAGAAAAATACTGTATTTTATCTCAACAGGTATTTTAAAATAGGTGGAGACACTTGGACTTTTTAAGAGAATCTAACCAATATATCTACCAATCAGCAAAATTATCATATGTGTTGTTAAGTGGGAATTTCATCATGCCATTTACAC